CGGGGGGGGGCCCCCGGGCTTGGGGGGGGGGGAGGACACCCCGTTGGTTTTGGGGGGCAATCAGAGAGACGCTCGGTAGGCCCAGTATGGCCCAGTATGGGCCGGTGACCAGGGGAACCCCCAGGAACCCCAAGGAACATCTGAGAACTTCCAAAAACCTCCCCAGAATACATCCTATGGCTCCCAGAGTCCTCCCAGTACAGCCCAGTACAGCCCAGTATGGCCCAGTATGGGCCGGTGACCAGGGGAACCCCCAGGAACCCCAAGGAACATCTGAGAACTTCCAAAAACCTCCCCAGAACCACCAGGAACTCCCCAGAATAGATCCTATGGCTCCCAGAGTCCTCCCAGTACAGCCCAGTAGAGCCCAGTATGGCCCAGTATGGGCCGGTGACCAGGGGAACCCCCAGGAACCCTCAGGAACTTCTGAGAACTTCCAAAAACCTCTCAAGTACCACCAGGAACTCCCCAAAATTCAGCCCAGGGCTCCCAGAGTCCTCCCAGTACAGCCCAGTACAGCCCAGTTATCATGGGAACTCCAGGAACCCCCAGGAACCCCAAGGAACATCTGAGAACTTCCAGAAACTTCCTTTGGACCACCAGGAACACCCCAAAATTCAGCCCAGGGCTCCCAGAGTCCTCCCAGTACAGCCCAGTTTGGTCCAGTAATCACAGGAAACACCAGGAACCCCAAGGAACACCTAAGAACTTCCAAAAACCTCCCCAGAACCGCCCAAGTACCACCAGGAACTCCCCAAAATTCAGCCCAGGGCTCCCGACCCTCAGTGGAAACCCCATTGTTGGACCTCCAACACCCACTGGAGACCCCAAAACCCACTGGAGACCCCAAAACTCAATGGAGACCCCAAAACCCACTGGAGACCCCAAAACCCAATGGAGTCCCCAAAACCCACTGGAGACCCCAAAACTCAATGGAGACCCCAAAACCCATTGCAGACCTCAACCCTTGACTACCCAACACCCACTGTAGACACCACCATGAGCACCCAATGCCCACTGGAGACCCCAAAACCCAATGGAGACCACAAAACCCATTGCAGACCCAACCCTTGACCACCCAACGCCCCACCGAGTCCCACCTCTGTCACCACCACCCCCTGGACACCCCATTTCCCAACCCTTGACTCTCCTTGAGGGACCCCAATACCCGTTGGAGACCCCAACTCTTGACCACCCAACAC